AGAAAGAAAGAAAGAAAGAAAGAAAGAAAGAAAGAAAGAAAGAAAGAAAGAAAGAAAGAAAGAAAAGAAAGAAGCAAAGAAACAAAGAAAGAAAAAAAGAAAGAGTGTGTGTGAAAGAAAGGTAAAAAAGAAAGAGAGAAAGGGAGGGGGAAAGAAGGAGGAAGAAAGTAAAAAAAGAAAGAGACTGAGGAGGGAGGAAGGGAATAAATGGAGGGGCTCTGGGGTTTGATGACATTGCTGAACTAAAGGAACTACCCCTTGTGTTTTCCTATATTAGACTTTTCTGTATTCAGGATTTTGTTTCTTAAAGCTGCAGCTATTCTAAGAATTTCAAAACCCACACATTTCTTAGTAGCAGCTGGATTTATTGAGGTGCTGCAAAGAACACAGACTTTCATAAGGCTTCAGAAGGAGATGGAGTCTGATCTAGTAACAGGCTATAACATCAACATGGGAAATCCAACTCCAAAGTTTATTGTTCTTTTAGGTCCACTGTGTTGTCTGCAAGCTCAGCTCACAAAGGCTAAAAATGGACTCTCTGCTGCTCCTCCTGACGTAGAACCAGTGTGTCTAACCATTGTCTGAGCCAGAACCAGCTCTGTTGGCTTCTCTTCCCAGTAGAATGAAGCTAAAGGGTGGATACTGGGACTCTAAGATGTGTCCTCCCGTGGCCTTGTAGGTTCAGTTATTCCCTGGGAGTTACAGTGCCTCTAGGAGGTGAAAGAAAAAAGAAAGAGACACTGTGACATCAAGAGAGACATCATGATAGAGACACCAGACAATTGAAGAAGCTCAGCCAGTACCTGCTGAGTAATCCCAGCTCAGCTTAATCCGAGCTACCAAACACAGAGCAGTGAAAAATCAATGACTGTTTGAAATTACTATATTTTAGAGATGTTTTCAATATAAGAATGAAAAAAATGACATCAGAAGCTATACTGAGATCTGGGCTTGGAGATACATACTTGCCATCCCAGCACTTAGAAGGCCTAATTGTAGGAGGACTGCACATGAAAGCCAGTATAGACTGCATAGTAAGTTCCTATCTCAAACAATACAACACAAAGCAACAACAACAGAAAACTGCTACAACCAAACACAAAATTAGGGAAGACGTTAACATAAAACCAATTCCAACTCATCATTTTTGTCTAGCAGTACTAAAAAAACAACCCGTTCCAGAACAACCTGGAAAAAAGTCTCTGGTTCAAATGACTCAACCAACATGTTATTATATCATCTTCTTTTATTTGAGAAAAATGTAGAAGAAAGCATTCCAGTTATAGTCATCCTCAATTGTATTTGTCCTAAGAAATCACCGGAAATATGATAGACTGATGTGCTGCCTTTCAGGGAGACTAAGTTAGTTATGTCTCACTTGGAGAGCTGGAGCCAGTCTGTTTGAGATCTTGCAATGCTCTCCTATAATGTCTTTAAGTAGGATGCTACTGAATCTAACAGAGCTGAATCCAGACCTGAACAGGCTTTATTGTCAAGATATCTTAGCACGTTTTCTCTCCCATTCTGTAAATTGTGCTTATTCTATATCTACAGGGTTGTCTTTGCCTCCTTGTTTTCTTTCTAGTGAACTCTTAATTCAAGCTTCCAACAGTGCTTACCAGGATGTGCCATCTTTGACTTAAAATGTGCAATTGCCTGTAAAAACAAACAGAATGTGGAATTCAGCAAAGTGGAAGGTTTATTATTCCTTTCAAGGCAATGAAAGACCTTGATTCTTTTTCCATCAATATTTTCTCCTCCTGGGTCAATATTTTTTGATATCCATCTCACTGGAAGTCAATATCTTCTTATTAATCTTCTTTGGCAATAACACTTGCTATCAGACAGTTGCCTGAGGTATGTAGGGCCAGAGAGCTGGCTTTACAGCTAGGGGGTCAGAAACCCAGTGGGGAAGGACAGCTTTCTTTAGGAAGCTCTTCATGTATCACTTGCACAGATTGTTATTTTCTAAATGTTATTTTTTCATTATAAAAGCAATTTGCTGCCATAGTTTAAATGGGAAATGCAGAAAAAAATATAAAGAGGGAAATGAATATTTCCTACAGTTCTCAGCATTGGAGGAAATTGCTAATGTTTTTCCTGCAAATGAATACACACGTGGAGAAATATGCATATCTATGCACATGTTCAATAAAGAGTGGGCAAATTAAGAGTGCATTATATGGAATTTTTTGCTTCTTTTTACTTTTTCTATAGTAGTTTTGTCCTCTGTTTTCTCACCTAGATTTCCAAGACTTGCTTTCTAGTGTTGCCAAACATCCTCAAATGCATATCCAATTCATAGAGATGATCACAAAGGAACACAAGAATTGGGGGGAGGGTAAGGAAACGCTCTGTGTATTGACCATAGAAGTTGTTACAGAATGAGTCATTGGTCAAGATTTACCAAAAAACATACCTGAAGGGCTAGAGAGATGGCTCCATGGAGAAGAAGACTCGACGCTCTTCCAGAGGATGGTTTTGATGCCTGTACTGACACTGGGTGGTTCACAATCACCTCTAACTCCAGCTTCAGGTGATCCTATACCCTCTTCTGGCCTCTGGTCTCTGTGGGTACACACACACACAAACACACCCATAAACATGAGTGAAAATCAGCATTTTTTAAATGAATACTTTAAACAGGTAGGACTTACCACATATAAACTGTATCTCACAACATCTGACTTGAGAAGAACAGAAGAGCTCATCAAAGGATCCTAAACAATTTGCCCCAGGGTTGCCTTACACTCTGGGCTAATCTTTAGTTATCTAAGTCTTGCCAACATAAGGAACTGGCTAGAAGGGGTGTGTGTGTGCGTGTCCATGTATGTATGTCTGTGGAAGCCAGAGGTCTTCATTCCTCAAGAGCTGATCACCTTGTTTTTTGAGACAAAGCCTCTCACCATGACCCAGGGCTCACTGGCTGGCCAGCCAGCTTCATGGATCCATCTGTCTCCACTTCCCTTACACTAGGATTACAGGCACGTGCATGGCAAGCACTTTCCTGCTGATCTACTCCCAAGCCCTCTCACTGGGAGATTTTAACCGAGTTAGACAGCAACATTGTGGGTAGCAAAACAGAGACACTGGTCTGGTTGGGCTGGGATGGAAGCCAGGCACAGAGCTCTGTGAAAGCTCCCTTTGTGGTTCTGAAATGCACCATTTGCGTTGAGAATCACTAGACACAGTTAAACCATAAAACAAAGAGTCAGGAATGGACAAAATAAAATAAGTAAGTTTCACAATCACGAATAGTCTAATGAATTTTACAACACAAAATGTTTGCTATCCCATTGACATTTTTGTCCTGTTTCCCCTAAAGTCACTCGATAGTCATGTAAATTTTTTTTTTAACTGAGGTACAATTTCCATACTTTCACAGTAATCTGTGAAAGTGCACTGTAAGTGCTTTGAAGCATTTGTGCACTCGTAGAGCATTCATAGGACTGCAGCGTCAGCTAATCTGAGAACATCTCGGAAGCCCAGAAGAAGCTTCACACGTATTAGTAATTGTGTCTCATTCTTCCCTAAGTTGCCTGTGACAGACAGCTACTAGTCTGTTTTGTCTCTACGGATTTTCTTATTCTGGATACTTCACACAAATGGAATCACAAAGTGCATGTTCTTTTATGACTGGCTTCTTTCATTTAGCAGAGTTGTCGAGCTTCGTTCTTGTAGCACACACCAAATTTTAGACCTTTTCACTATTATGCATCACCACATTTTTGTTTGTCCATTAACTAGTTAATATATAGTCATCCTAGTTCCAATTTGGGGCAATTAGAGATAATGCGAATGTGAACATTTGTGTATAAAGTTCTGTGTGGATATGTATTTTGGTCTATTTTGGTTATTTACCCTGGAGTATAATTGGTTACTGGGCTGTATGTTAATTCTATGTCTTTCAAAGGAGGTGTACCATCTTACAACTCAACCAGCAACATACCAACATTCCAGTTTTTCCAAAACCTATCAGTATTTGCTATTGTGTCCTTTTTTATTATTATTAGAGTCACTCTATTGGATTTAAAGTGAAGTCTTGTAGTTTTGATTTTCATTGTAAAATGATTAATGACACTGAACATTGTTCATGTAATTATGAGATACTGATTAATGGTCTTTAGAAAAAATGTTGTTTTCAATCCTTTGCCCATTTTAAAAGTGTTATTTGTAGCTTCATTGTTGAATTACAAAAGTTCTTTAAATATTCTAGGTTTTTGTTTTGGCCTTTTGCTTTCATGGTTTTGCTCCACAGCCCAGGCTGACCTTGAACTCAATATATTCCTGTCTTAGCCTTTCAAGTCTTGGGTGCTACCATGTCTGGCTTCTAAGCTCTGGACAGAAAAATCACTTACAAATATCCCCTCTCATTTATTGGACTATCTTTTTACTTTCTTGATAACATTCTTTGGAGCATAAATGTTTTATTTGATAAGGTCTAATTTTTTTTATAATAGCTTTACCTCTGTCATTAGTTTAGTGTTGTGTTGTCATGGTCACTTGAAACATGGCTGCCATCTTCCAGCTATGGGAGGTCCTCAACAGGATAAAGGGTTATGACTTGGCAGAAATATGGGAGAACCTAAATTTTTTCTTTTCTTTTTGTTTTGTTTTGTTGGTTTTTTGAGACGGGGTTTCTCTGTGTAGCCTTGGCTGTCGTGGAACTCACTATGTAGACAAGGCTGGCCTTGAACTCACAATGATGTGCCTACCTCTGCCTTCCCAAGTGCTGGGATTACAGTTGTGCACCATAGCTCCTGGCTGAACCTGAATTCCTTATGGCACTCTTAATCCTCTGAATTAATCAGCCCCGATGCTTTCCTACCTTGAGGTTTCTCATTATTTATGGTCACTTATATCTTTTCTTCACAAGCAAGTTGAGCCAGGGTGTTTGTTAGCTGTACTCTGATTATTTTCTCCAACACAGATCTTCAGATTAGAAGCTCCTCACAAGCTGCAAAGATAAGTGTCCCCTTGGCTGCCGCTGGTTTGCAAAGAGCTGTACGGAAGGTGAACATTGTTGCCAGATCTGGTCTTCGATGTCTTTAGGAAGGACACTGAATCTCTATTTTTGTTCTAAACAGGTATCTTCTAAAAGTGTTTGGGTGTAAGGAAGTGCTCTGACATTCTAGGTGGAACAATGAGATCTCAATACTTTGCACTGAGAGGGAGTGGGAGGAGGCTGTAGATACAGAAGTCCCTCTGCCCTGCTGGTCTTCCTTTCTATGGCTGAGACACTGGCTCACCATTCCGCTAGAAAAGAACTTTGAAGTAGTGTGTAAAAGCCAGCCTGGCTCGACTTCCGAAAGCCAAATGTGCCCATCCCTTCCCAATTCCACATTCAAAGATATCACAAAAAAAACTAGGCTTTTCTAGGGAATATTTACAGCATGGAATTCAGTAAAGGCCCTTTGTCTTTTGCAGTCCTGGATGGTTATTGTTATACTGATACATTGGAATACTACTGGAAAGTCTCTCTAAGTTTGTTGTAGGGATTAAAATAAAAAACTTTTATGCCAAATAATGGCAATACCTATCAAACTTCAAGGATGTAAATTAAAAAGATGAGAGATTCCACTATCCTCCCCTGAAGATGACTAACAGCGGTAACAATAGGAAAATTCCATCATTTTCCTTATCCACTGAGTCCCAGGCTCCCAGCTCAAATGTTCCTCCCAAGGTCATGCTGTTCATGCTTTTGAAAAAGACAAGCTTAATTCTCCCTAATAGCCAGTGTTTGACATTTTTGTTTTGTACTGCTAAGCCACACTATAGCAACTGCTCCATTCCACATAATGGCAAAACCACGGTAATGACATGGTTTTCCTGTGGAACTGCTGAGGTCACCAATCTGAGGCCATCTGTGGTATGGGGGCTGTTCCCTGTGTGACTGGGGGACAGAAGCCCAATAGGGACCTCTGCAGACTAACGCCCCTCTACTCTTGCCTCCTCCAATCTGCCTCTAGCTCGTTTGTTCCATATTCATTCCTGCCTTCAGATATCAAAACCCTTACTAAATATAAATTTGCGAAGTGTTGAAAAGTAGACAAAATTCTTTGTCAACATGTTATTCCCATTAGAGTCTGAAGCTGAAGGTGGTCCCTATAAAAAGAATGGACTATCTTAAACCTGACAAAAGATAGAGAGAAGAGCATGAAAGGCACCAATGCCCCCACCTTCCTTATTTCAGAAGTAAGATACACACACTATTAAAGTTTCTATGTGTGCTGTCTCAGCCACCATACTGCCCTCCTTCCAAGAGAGAAGTGCTGTGGGCCAGAAGGCAGCTCTGACCAAGAACGCATTTGCCTCACAAGCACAAGGACTTAAGTTCAATTCCCAGATCCCATGTGGGGAAAAAAAAAAAGTCAGGTTTGGTGCCACCTGCTTATAATCCCAAAACTGGAAAGGCAGAGACAGGAAGAGCCCTGGGATTGGCTGGACAGTCAGCCAATGAACTCAGGGGATTTTAGTCTGCTGAGAGATCCTCTGGGTTTTTTTTTTAAATGTATTTATTTACTCACTTTACATCTTGATTGCAGCCCAGCCCCCTCTCCTCTCTGTCCCCCCATTTGCATACCCCTCCCCCTACTCCCCCTTCTCCTTTCTCCATGGGTACCTACTTGTCCTGGCATTAAGTCACTGCAGATCTAGGCGCACCCTCTCCCACTGAGACCAGACAAGGCAGCCCAGTTAGGAGAACGGGATCCAAAGGGAGGCATCAGAGAAAGAGAGAGCACCTGCTCCAGTTTTGTGAGGGTCTACATGAAGACCAAGCTGTGCATCTGCTACATCTGTGCAGGAGGCAGAGGACCAGTCTATGCATGCTCTTTGGTTGGTGGCTCAGTCTCCATGAGCCCCCATGGGCCTAGATTAGTTGACTCTGTAGGTCTCCTCATGGAGTCTTTGACCCCTCCAGCTCCCTCAATTGTTCCCCCAATTCTTCCATAGGACTCCCCGAGCTGTCTGTTTGGCTGTGGGTCTCAGCATCTGCTTTCATCAGTTTCTGGGTGAAGCCTCTCAGAAGAGTTACACTAGGCTCTAGTCTATAAGCATAGCAGAGTCTCATTAATAGTGTCAGGGACTGGTTCTCTCCATGGGGTGGGTCTCAAGCAGGGCCAGACTTTGGTTGGCCATTCCCTCAGTCTTTGCTCCATCTGTGTTCCTTGTGACAGGACAAATTTTGGGTTGAAGGTTTTGTGGGTGGGTGGTGATCCCCCCACTGGAAATCCTGCCTGGCCACAGGAGGTGGCCACTTTGGGGTCCGTATTCCCTACTGCTGGAAGTCTCAGCTAAGGTCAGCCTACCCTCAGACTCCCCGGAGCCTCTCCTACCCCAGAGAGCCTGTGGTTTTGGTTTTGTTTTTTTAATGAGGTGGACAGCTCCTGAGGAATGACACCTGAAATTGACCCCAAGCCTCCACATATATGCA